CTTAGACTTTAGATGCTTCATTTGAGCTAGTGTCCACCTGTTTGTGTATGGTGCTTGAGGGTGTCCATGGATGTCTACTTCGGTGACTGGACACCATATTGCCTCTGTACTTTAACCCAAGAATGCTGTCTTATTTTTAAATAAACTCTGGTTGTTAAAAGTCATACACTGTATGGTGCCATTCAAAGAGAATTTTGATCATTTTTCCTAATGCTAGGCTTACAACAGCAAATGTTACATGAACACTTCAAAGCAGGTGAAGAACTAGAACTGTGCTCCTGGCTGAGGGTGGACGGTGGGCAGTTCCATATTCTTGTTCTGGACAGAGGCTGGGCTTCACCCAGGCAGAGGAAGCACAGCAGTGTGCAAGTGCCAAGAGGCCTGGTTGGAACTGGAAGATCTCTGAAATCCTGTGTTCAGGTACAGCACACATTTCTCATCTCTCATCTGATTGCCAACCAAGTCATCTGGCCAAGTCCAAAGTCGATGGAATGAGGAAAGATACTCTGTCTACAGGGAAAGGAGGCAAAGTGGGAGAATTAATCACCGTGAACCAATAACCTCACCTGCCATCCATGATAGACATTAAGTTCAGAACTGATACTTGTATTTCTTTAGAGTAATGCAAGTGGACATGGGGTTAACTTACATGAGTTGAATAAGTTCAGTTCTATGAGTCACGTGGATTCAAAGACAGTTGTCATGGGGTGCAAATTAGCCACCTATTGAAATTGGAAAATGAAATTAGACTATTTTTTTTGACAGAAAGTCTGATTCAAATAATTAAAATGGAAATTAAGACTAACTTCAACAACTAGGTTTAAGGATGATGCTTCTTAGAAACTGATTGAACTGAGTTTACAGCTCCAAGGTTTTGACAAAAGTGTATTTAAAGCACATGATAGCAGAAAATCGTTGTTATTCTATTGGCTGGGATGTGCTGGAAATGGACAGTATTTTCATTTCCCCTCTTTATGAGTGTATTGGGTATTAGAGATGCCACTAAGTGAGAACTATTCAATTATAATTTGAAGATCTTTAAAAAAAAGTTAATTTTTGTAGGAATGACATTAAATGGACAGAATCTGGACTAATCACTTTTAATTACCCTTGCAACTAAAAAGCTACTGCAAACCAACTCACTGAGCCATATGCTCTTGTGATCTGGGTACCCGACCTTGATCCCTCAGAACTTCAATTTGCAGCTCTACCCAAGACAGTGAATTAATGTGGTGTGTTTGAGAGCCAACAAATCAAAGCACTGAAAGGCAGCTCATCTTCATTGGGAGCAATGAAGACTGGGAATACTTGACCCTGTGTGTGTGAGATGTTTTAGGCCTAGGGGTGAAACAGCAAGATTGTCTGATAAGGGTAGATCCAAACTTGTAGTTCCCCAACTGTAGCTGGAGAAAAAGTTTTGAATAAAATTATGGGTGAAATCTGGCTCAATAGCAGAGCTCCAGGAGACATCTGGAGGACAAGTGTCCTCCAAGTTCTGGCCCGCTCTTAAAAATAAAGTGTCAGGCTATTTATTCGGGTATAGCTGTGGTGTTGACATGGTAACACTGCAATTCTTTGACAGTCTCAGACATATACATAACACATTCTGGTCACAGGTATCCCCCACCCTCTCTTTCCTTCCTTCCATCCCCACCGACTTCTCACCTCCCACCAAGTCCCCATCCCACTCAAGCCTTTTTGGATTTTTTAAAACTGTTGTTGCTTGTTTGTTTTATGACCTACTGAGTTTAACAGAGCTGCCCACCTGGGTGTGAGTCCGACACTTTCTACTATAGCATAAGTAACTCACCAGTAGCTTTATCTCAGAAGACAATGAATTCCTCTTTCCCAGAAGCCCTTGACTGCTAATAGCTCCCCTGGGTCAGGTAGTCCCCATGAGGCCCTCTGCCATCTATGACTACTTATAGGCTTAGTCTTATACAGGCCTTATGCAGGCAACCACAGCTGTTGTGAGTTCATGTGTACAACAGTCATGATATACCCACAAGACAGCATTTTACAACCTTCCTCTTCATCTTCCAGCTCTTCTTTAATAAAAAAAATTATTATTAAATTTTTAGTATTTTGTATGTGTGCATGCATACTATAACAGTATTGTGGAGTTTGGGGGACATATGTTCTTTTATCATCTTTAATTATATTTTTTAAGGAGTTCATCTATGTTTTATACCAAAAAAGCATAAATAAGGCTTAAGGTAAAAGATAAAGGGAAAAATTTGCTTCTCTCCAGAACCATCCCTCCTCCCACCCTCCCCCTCCCCAGAGGAAGCTTAAATTAGAGAAAGGTACGACATGGAGAAGCAGGCTGGGCATGATGCCATACCCCTGTCATCCTAGCACTTGAGAAGAGGAGCAGGAGGATCAGGAATCCAAGGTTAGCCTCAGCTACTTAGCAAGTTCAAGATCAGCCTATCTCAATAAATGATAGATGATGATAATAGAAAGAGAGATAGATAGATAGATAGATAGATAGATAGATAGATAGATGATAGATAGATAGATAGATAATAGATAGATAGAAAGATAGATGATAGATAGATGATTAATAGATGATGATAGATGAATGACTGATAGATAGGTGATAGATGATTGATAGATAGGAGATAGATAGATAGATAGATAGATAATAGACAGACAGATAGATGGATAGATGATAGATAGATGATAGATACATAGATAGATGATAGATCAATCGAGAGATAGATGATAGATAGGTAGATGACAGATAGAGATAGATAGATGATAGATAGATAGATAGATAGATAGATAGATAGATAGATAGAGCAATCCAGGGATGAAAATAACCATTCTGTGTGTTTTTAAGTTAAACAAGTTTCTTTTTATGTGTATATGACATCTAAATCAAAATGAGAACTTTGATCCATTTCACAAATTAATGTTGGGTCCAAAGTTTTGTATCATTAAATAGTAACAGTGGTCTTGATGAGTAATTCTGAAACCACATTCCTTTGGGCTGAGTGAAATCTCAAATTTTCCCCTTCGCTCTACTCAGTGAATTCCCTTCTAGCTGAACAGAATGTAATTCTCTGAAATTGCAGTAAGTAGAACATGAGCTCTTTTTATTTTGTCTGCAATATTTCTCATTTATTTTACATCTTGAGCCTCATTAATCCTTTTCTAGTACAAAATGAATGTAGGGAGCTTAAAAAGAATCCTTTTCTTCTTTCTCAAATATATCCACCAGTAGAAAAAAAAAATCTGTGTGCCCGGGGATGCCTTTCTATCAATGAGATGTATTCGTTTTCGTAGCACATTCCTTGTCGTTGCTGAAGATGTCGCATGACGTTCTTGTCTTTCCTGTATTCAGGGGAATGCACTGCAGTGTGCTGTGGCACCCACTCTCTTTGCATTCTTTGCCTTCTGTGCCTATTATATTGCTCTATGTTTTCTGCATAACAGCTGCTGGGTGAGGTCTTTTTTGAGACAGGGTCTCCCTGTAACTCCAGCTGGCCTGGAACTCGATATGTAGACCAGGCTGGCCTTGAACTCACAGAGCTCTGCCTGCCTTTGCCTCCCAAATGCTAGGATTTAAAGGTGTGGGCCAGATTCCCATAATCTTATTTAATGGCTTTTAAACATTTTTTCACTTTATTTATTTATTTATTTATTTATTTATTTATTTATTTATTTATTTATTTATTTATATGTGTATGGAGAGGGTGCTCAGACCAAGGTGTCCCTATGGAGGTCAGGGGACAACTTGTAGGAGTCAGTTCTTTCCTTCCACCATGTTAGTCCTGGAAATGGAACTCAGATTGTCTCCCTTGGCAAGTGCCTGTACACATCTTTAAATAGTTGTTGGGGAAGGAAAAATAGTTTCTTCACTCATGCCTATCCACCCCAGCCAAAATCTACCTCATTGGCCATCAACTGTCTGCATTACACTGATGGTCCAGCACCTGCCAGTGAAGCTGGACCTCAACAGAGCAAGCCAGTGCCTTCCCCACCTCTGTCTCTCCTGCTTCCTGAGGTCTTCTAGGCCCTTCCTGGTGTGCCAGTGCACACAACAGTTGCCTGGAGGGCTCTACAGCATCTCACATACCAGGAGGAGCAGAGAAACCTCAAGAAATGAAGTTTGAGGTAGGCAGCCAAGGCGCAGGCAGGGTGCTCTACACATCTACAAGCAATACAAAAGATCAGCAAACCCAGCCTTCAGGGCAGCCTGGCAGCCTGGTAATTCCTGCAGGTGGTGAGAATACTGCTATCCTGCATTGAAGAGAGTTTGAAGACAGAGTTCTATTCCTTTGGGAAACCTGTCTTTTCTACTAAAGCCTTCAACTGATAGAATAAGGGTAACTGCAGAGAATGACATTTTACTCAAGGCCTGCTGATTGAGAGGCTTACCGCCTCTAAAAAATACTTTACAACAACATTTTGCTGGTGTTTCATCAAACTACTAAGCACTATAGCCTGTCCAAGCTGGCAAAAAAATCATCCATCAGGTTCTTCGAGGAACCACAGACATTGATACTATCTGCTAAATACTTTAAACAAATTACTTAAATATTCTGAAAAAGCTAAAAGAACCCATGGACAAAGAGCTAAAGTAACAGGAGAGTGATGCCTCAGTAAGGTGGGGGAGGGAGGGAGGGAGGGAGGAAGGGAGGGAAGGAAGGAGGGAGGCAGAGACAGATGGAGAGAGAGAAAGAGATTTTCCTGTTTGTGTTTTCGTTTTATTTGGGGGATGTTTCCTCAATTTTATCTCCCAAGATATGTAAGCATGACTTTCTGTTGTTTATGTTTTGTCCTATAACATTCTTGTTTCAGGAAACAACTTTAAAGAGTGCATAACTTTCTTGTAGAAGGCCCAAGTTCAGTTCCTAGCATCCACATCAGGCTACTCACAACTGCAGTTCCAAGGGATCTGATACCTCTGGCCTCTACAGGCACCTGTACTCATGTGCACATACACACAGACAGGCATACACATACACATAATTAAAATAAAATAAATCTTAGTGCTTGCTTCAGCAGCACATATACTAAATTGGAACAATACGGAGATTACCGTGGCCCCTGGGCAAGGATGACATGCAAATTTGTGAAGCGTTCTATATTTTTAATTAGGAAAATGCATATCAAAATTACTTTAAGATTTCATCTAACCCCAGTCAGAATCAATAGATAATAAGATCAAGAGAACAAATGACAACAAATGCTGGTGAAGATGCGGGGAAAGGGGAACCCTCACCCACTGTTGGTGGGATTGCAAACTGGTGCAACCACTGTGGAAATCAGTATGGAGAACTCTTACAAATCTAAAAACAAATCTATCATATGATTTGGTCATACCACTCCTTGGCACACACCTAAAGGACTCATCCTACTACAGAAATACTTGCACAGCCATGTTTGTTTCTTCTCTTTTCACAATAGCCAAGTAGTGGAAACAACCTAAATGTCCCTCAACTGATGAATGGACAATAAAAATGTGGTGCATTTACACAATGAAGAGGTAAAGAAAAATGAAATCATGGAATTTGCAGGTAAATGGATGGAACTAGAAGCTGTCATACTAAGTGAAGTAACACAGATTCAGAGAAACAAGAGGCATATATTTGCTCTCGTTTGTGTACCTTAGCTTCAAATCCCTAGGTATGAGTATACATCCTGATGTAGCCACAATAGCCAGAAAAATGGAAGGAAACCAAGGGGGAGAAGGGGAAGAAGGAGCTTGGGAGATGGGGGATAGGAGACAGATGTTATCAAGGGAAAAATGGGGAAAAGGGGTACTTTAGCTGGGGAGGGAGGATGAACACTTAGACGGGAAGAGAGAGGAGAGATAAGTAATGCTTAGGTGGTACAAAAAACCAGGGGGACTAATGTTTTAGTTCAAAAGTCTACTGAAAAATACACATACGATAAATATACTAGTGTATGTATATAGCTGAAGGCTCTATAACAAAAAACACAGTGCCAGGCAGGAGGAAACCTCCCTCTGAGTTGTTGGTCAGGATAGTCTGAGAGATTCCCGAAATAACACAGGCTATTGCCACAGCCCTGATTGCCTCCCAGAACTTGAAGGTAAGACCCTATTGCTGAAGACAGGACATACTTGGACACAGGACTTGAAGTAATCAACCTGGAACTGACCTAGTAGCCTCCTCCCTGAAGACTAGCTCTCATAGTACCAGAGGACACTATGCAAGCTGCCAAGGGAGAAAACCAATCAATGGTTCTGCTCAGCTGTAAAGCCTAATAAACAACAATGACTGTCACAATAAACTATCTCCATTGGTGCAGTAGTGGGACTTTCATCTTGGGGGTAATCAATAGCTATCTAGTTGAAATTAAGGCCCACTCAATGCAAAGGAACTCATGTGTAGTACTGTAAGTATAACCAAATATGCATGGCTGGAAAGGTTATAGCTCCTAGAGAAAAGCCTACATCTGTCACATCCCTAGACAATATAATTTCTTACTATATACTAAATATGTATCTTTATATTTACAGACAAGTATATCATCACTCACCAAAGAAGCTTCTTTTTGCAACAGATGGAGATTATTATAGAGTTCCATAACCAGTCGAACACAGAGTATAAGTGTCTATGAGATGCCCTAGGTGACACACCAGCAATGCAATCTGTACACCTAAGGCTCAGGGAACATAGTGGAACAGGGGGCAGAGAGAATATTAAAGCAATCTTCAACTCTCATCAGCAAAGCTTCTTCATGCAATGGCAGGGGGAAGGGTATGTGGGTACAGATGGGGGGGCTGTCTAAACACAATCAAGATGCAGTGCATGAATTGCACAAAAATTAAAATTTATTTTAAATCTTAAAAAATACTTCTGAGCCTATGACTCAGTTCTTTTCAAAATTTTTTGTTTATTATGTATGTGTGTGTGATGTGTATGCAAGAGTGCAGATGCACATATGTGCCAAAGTGTATATGTGGATGTCAAAGGATAACTTGTGGGAGTCACTTCTCTCCTTCCAATGCAGGATCAGGGAATCAAACTCGGGTCATCAGGTTTGCAAGGCAAGCGCCTTTACCCTTTGAACCACCTTACCAGCCTTGAATGTCAGTTCTTTGGAAACTTTGCTTTATGGTATAGTTATTTATGACCAAAACTAATTGAAAAATTGAATTCACAAAAGAATACATGAACAGCTTGGTGCACAGTCCTGTAACTGGACATCTTACTGCAGTGAAAATGAATAACCAGAGCTCTAGGCCTAAATGTAGACAGATCTCAAAAACATAAAGCTGAAGTGAAAGGCAAACGGCAAAGAGATACAAACTAACACTTTGAATTCATTTTCAAAGGGTTGAATTATATGCAAAGACAAAATCATGTGCCATTTGTGGGTCCACACATATGCATAGATATCTTAAGCTATATAAAGGGAATAATAAACTCCAAATTTAGGAGAGTTATTATATATGGGGAGGCAGAGAAAGTAAACTGAAGAACATAAGAAACTGTTGTTTCTAATATCTTGCTTCTAAAGTTAGCAATGAGTGAACATACTTACTCTATCTTCTTTAATACTTAAAAATTTTAATAATCATATTTTTGCTTATATAAAATAAAAGAGAAGAGTTAACAAAATTTATAGGAAGACCAAATTATATTTAAAATAGAAAAGCCACCTGTGAAAGTCAGGGCTCTACTTAGATAAATTAGAATAAAAATACGAGAATAACAGAGTAGGTAAAACTCAGGCTGTCATTTACAAACTATCAGCAAATACTCCAGCTTTGCTTGATTCTAACCAAAAGGAAGTGGCCTGTACACAACTGTACAAGGGAAACCAATCAAGAAGGAACTGAAATGGAAAGAAAATTACAGAAGCAGAAGGCAGGGTTTCCTACAGGCTGAAATGACTTCTCACATAATTCCAAAAGGGTGCTATTGGACTAATTTGGATATTGACATGTACAGCATATCCCATCTGCCCCGGGGATAGTGGAGCTAGCCATTGAAGTGTGAATGGAGGAAAGGCGGGAGGCGGAGAGGTAGAGCTTCAGATGGTATATTGATCTGAGCATTCTTCAGAATTCCTTGATTGCTCTTCCTGGCCACTTGGTTACTGTGCTGGACAGCTTTAGTGTCAACTTGACACACCTGGGTTGAGGCAGCATCAGTTGGGGAATTGCCTCTATTGGACTGGCCTGTGGCCATGTCTGAGGGGCATCTTCTTGATGAGTGATGTGAGAGGGCCCAGCCCACTGTGGGTGGTGCCACCCCTGGGCAAGTGGGCCTGTGTTACATAGGAAAGCAGGCTGAGCAGGGGTCAGGGGAGCAAGCCAGTAAGCAGCGTTCCTCCATGGCCTGTGCTCCAGCTCCTGCTTCCAGGTTCCTGCCCTGAGTTCCTACCTTGGGCTCTCTGATGAACTGCGACCTGGGGGATGTAAGCTGAACAAACTCTTTCCTCCCCAAGTTGGTATTGGTCAGAGTATTTTGTCACAGCAATGAAGAAACAAACTAAGACAGTTACTATTGAGGTAAATCAGGCCAGTGTGGCCAGATCTGCGTCACCTCACTTGCTGTTCTGTCAGCATCCCTATGCACAATGTCTCTGCGATGGAAGGTGACTATCCAACTTGCCTGGTCATGGTGGTAATCCAGGCAGGCTTTTCTCATTCTGCTGTCTTGATGCCACTTGAGAAGGTTGAGATGGTCTACAGCCATATCACCCTGGCCATGCCCCATCTTGTCTGATCCTGGAAGCTAAGCCAGACTGGGCCTGGTTAGTACTTGGATGGGAAATGGCTGAGATGGCCCCAAGAAAGACCCAGGAAGATGTTCAACAGCACAATGCAGATTATTTCAACAAAAAATTATTCATCCCCCTACCTTACCTGTTCCCCCTCATCACCAGTGGCAAACTCTTACAGTATTCTCTTCTGCTATGTATTTATCTATACATTCTAAATAAAATAAACTATGATCCTGCAACTTCTCAAGTTCAGAAACTATTTGTTGGCTTCCTATCATAAAAGAGGAGTACTTCCACTCATCTCTCCTTTCTTGTTCTGTATCTTCTCAATATAGCTTATCAACATATTGGTTAAATTGGTACATATTAGAAAAATGACATGCTCAGCCAAGCAATATAATTTCATTCCTAGCCTTTAAACTTTTACCATACATTTAGTGTTTGCTTTCCATTCGCTTAACTATTGAAAGTGCTTGCTGCTTATACCAACTCTTCCTGAATTCTCAAACAGACTCTTGTTATAATTCCCCACATGATCAAACACGTGATAATTTATCACTTTACCTTTCTAACTAGAAGTAAATAGCTCTTGAACTGTGTTCTGTTCACTCCAAACCACTCATCCCATAGACTTATTTGCATAGCTATGACCCAGGACATATCTTTGCTATCATCCTGAAAATTTCCTTTGATGCCCTGATTTCCTGGATCCTGTGCCATCTCCTTTCCTGGTGTACTCCCTCATCTTGATGGAACATATGCTACAGTAGCTTTCCAGGAAAGTTTGTGAATCAAGTTTGACTTTTGTATGACTTGACTCTGGGTAGGTATAGAATTCTACATGGACAGTCACATCATTTAGCTTTCTGTCCTTGGGACAAAAGACCCAAGATAATTGACTTACAAGGATAGGAAAATCATTTGGGCTCATAGTTTCAGAGACTCGGTCCATGGTCAGCTCATGACAAGATAGACCATTATGGTAGGGAGTATGTAATACAGAGCCAGGGTCTCAATAGTCCCTTCAAGTGCATACTTCCCTCCCCAACAATCTAGCTCTCTCCCATTAGGTCCTGCCTCCTAACAGTGCCACCAGCTGGCGACATGCCTTCACACCCAAGCCTTTGGGGGACGGTCAAGATTCAAACCTAGCACACTCACTTGCCTTTTTCACTTGCCTTTGTTCTATTTTGTTCGAGTGCTGCTATGAAATTGATAAATCCTCATCCTTCCTGTGTCCTGATTTTTCTCTCACTTTGGGAATTTTTTTAAACCATTGATTTGGAGGAATTAGTGCTGCGATACTGGGCTTTTGCTTTCGCTCAGTTCATGCTGAGCACTGAGTAAGCTCATTCAACCTGTAGTTCTTTTAGTTCTGAGAAACTTTCTTG